GATAAAATGTTTGTAATGTTCACTAATTACAAATTTGATTTTGTTCATTCAACAAATTTCTTTATGGGCTGTATATTGACAATACAATTGTTAATGCAATCTAGATTTTTAACAATTTTACTAAGATTTTTTTTTCAGTATACTTTTTTTCTCCACACGATTGAATATGAACGGACAACGACGGGTTGTATTCACCGCTGAGTTTATCCTATTGAAACTGTAATGGTTGTGCGCTACGATAATGTCCCATCCGATGGATTTGCAAATATTTATTGTATAAACTGAATATTATCATCGTTCATCCAGCTTAATTTTTTCGTAAATTCTTTACTTTTAACTATTGTTTAACTATCTTACTATTGTTCGGTGATCGTAAGTTTTCGTTCATTCTCCGCTGGGAATCGTGCGCGAATGATCGACTTATACCGATGAAGTAATGAGTACACGATTATAGACGATATTCCAATGCTATAGGTAAACACGGGACACCAGTGAGTTTTTCCATCAACCCGCGTGAACGGCGACTCCTTTTTATTATCCCTTCAATCGGCCAACGGCCATCATATCATTGACTCACGCAGTGCTCTGTTCCCGGGTATCGCAAGGCCCTGGGTAACATAGCAATTCAAGGCCCTGAGACTTTTACTACTAACCTTTGGACGATAATAAATCTATTGGTACATTAGTTCTCAATATTTTTACACTCGTGAACAACTTGCCCATCACGAATATTTCTACGGTCTTGACCTAATTTTGTTATCAACGAATGTATACGTTATTTACATGTAAAAGATTATCTAGAGGTTAGGTAAAGCTGCAACGATTATGAGCAACGTATACACTGTCGATATTTATGAATTGATCGTCGATGGCGGGTGGACATCGGATAATAATAAAATCTTAATACGAAAACAAACATAAATTTACAGCATATTATTACAGAATATTCTAATAATACATAGTACATATTAAAAATAATTTGCTATTTTATTCTAAGGGTCAGTTTGTTGTAAAAACGTTTTTTACTTTGCGAACATCGATGTTATCTGTATCATATTTAAATTCCAAGTCGTTGCTAAAATGTTTGGATATATTTATACTATATGTATATATTATTGTATATACGCTAGGCCCTTCAAGGTGCGAGGTTCTGGACGAGTTTCCCGTTTGCCTTGTCCTTGGGACGGCACTGGTCGTGGACGTGGACGCCAGCAGGTCAAGTAAGGATTTTCGAAGTCGTTGGATCATAACGCTTATTTTTGCCACGTTCGTAGAGGCGGTGCTTTGTCTAGAACCGCAGAGAAGGGAGAAATTAAAGGCTTAACAGTGATGCAAAGTATCATAAACAGAGCCTAATCGGTGCGTACACGTTACACCGCTGTTGCGTTACCGTTGCACGGAATTTGAATTCGTTGTCCTTTTCGGAAACACGAACGGTCCCCGTTTTAATAAATTGTTGATTGCGTTTCCTGGTTTTTACGACGAACATAAGTAGTAGTAGATCTGAACAGTACGTTTCTCGAGTGAACAAAGTCTGTGAACTCGGACCGGAGGCTTGCTGGAAAACTTCCGCGTCACCGTACAACAATAACCAAGAGACGCTTTTGTTTTACGTCGTGAACTATTCGTGCGGAGCGGAATACGCGTTAAGAAAAATTATTAAAAAACGGATTCGTATTGTTTTAGATAACTGATACGTTCTGGAAAGAAACGAATCTTAGTTAAATTAAACATTTCTAAAACAATGCGCGATGAATACGTCTCCCGGTACTGCAATATACGTACGCGTATTATTACGCAAGTGTAGGTACTTATTGTGCGTTACCTGTTCGCTGATGAATAACAACACATTTATCGAACCCGATGCTTATTTGCTATCATAACGTTAAAAGTTGGTAGTCGCGACATTCTGATCACGTCCTATATGATTTAGAAAAAAAAAAAAAAAAACGTAATTCCGGCGAAATGTATTTTATTCATGTAATGCATGTTTTAATTGATTCGTTTTGCTGTACTAACTATCAGGTGGAACATCAATTCTTAAATTACCCCTCGACAAACTCTTCGCTATAAGTTCTAGAGACTTAATTTGAAAAATAAAAATTTTATGATAAATTAATTCACGTTAAAGTGTCATCGTTGGGTAGCCCCTTCTTTCGAGATAACAAGTTATTGTTGAAAAATAAATGTTTATTTCTTTTTTCCTCTTTTAATTTATCGCAATTATATTCCATTGTACTAATAAATGTTAAATACATATGGATTGAGATATTATTAATTTTTTTAAAAAAAAAAAAAAAACATTTGTTTCAAAAAAAGGAGAGAATATTTAAAAAGTATGTTTTTTTTTTGTTTGGCTTTTCATGAACTTATACATTTTATTATTCCAATGAATATAAATTATACATTTCAAGAATTTTGTAATCACGGTCGAGGTAAACGAAACTATCATACCATAATAACTTATGAATAATAATTAATACTATTGTGTTTAATTGAATTCATTAGTTTTGTTTTGTGTCACGTTAACCCCATATATTTAAAAGTCTATTGTACGTTTAACGAACGTCAAAGGATCAAGGGGTCATCACGTGCAGAACATGAAATTACTTTTTTGTCATGCATTTTGGACGTGCCGTTATCTTTTTGAATTGTTTTTTGAATTATTTCTTGTAACTGCCTACGACCCCATGATTACAATATATGTACTCGGTAGTTTTTTTTTCATTTTTTTTTTCGCCAATCGAGTTACAGCAATTATGAGATAGGCCGTATAATAAGTTAACAGACTCGTGTGTCGCAATGGTCTTGTGTATCTTCCGACATTACGGCTCGCAGCAGTATTCGTTATTGCTAGGGTTCGAAAGTTATAGGAGTTGCATATTATTCTGTATGCTCTCGATGTGTAGCAAACCTATAGATAGAAATCAGAGCTATACAATATTGAGTTTAAAAATTGAAAATCGCACATTTCATTAATTCTAGAGAAAGAGTGCATATTTAGTCGATTTTCATCGATTTTCGCATATTTGTATGTACATTTGATATTTTCTAAAAAAATTAATTTTTTTCATTCTAAACCAATTTATTTTAAGTAATGTTACATAACATAACGCTAATAGCACGGAAATCGTGCGTCATAACAAAACTCAATATTATTTTTCATGGTTATTTATTGTTATTTCTTATTGTCTGCTATTAATTTAACGACAGTTAATGGTGCGGTTCACATTTAATTTTATTGCACTAGAAAAACCATGTGCCAAAATACTATCTTATCGTGAATAAGATTGAAATTTAACAATTGTTTTTGTCATATCGTGCTGTATTTGTTCAATATTTTACACGCGTTAGATTTTATAGTAATATTTTATTTTATTAAAATGCCAAAAACCGTTAATTTACAAAAATATTTAAGGGAATACGGAGAAATATTTTCGTCTGACAGTGATATTTTATTTTGTACATGAAAAATCTCAAGAAAAATTTGGCGGTTCAATGTATCAATTTAATAGGTATAACGTATATTTATTTTGTATTTAATAAATAATGAAAATATAATTGTTTAACTATTTTTTCTGTACAACAAAATCTCAAATGTCAACCGGTTACGCCCCATACAATTTTTTTAAATATAGATTTTTATTTATTCGTCTATACTTATACATAAGTAATACATTTTTAATAAATAAGTATTTTTTTTTACATATTTCAAAGTTTTTTATGTATATTTTATCATTTGTTCGTGCATATTTCGCCTTTTTTGGCTCCTATAACTCCCGAACCCTCATTATGTACGATCTGTGTGCGGATTGGAAGAACGAGTGATTCTTGTAACGACCGTTTAACTATTATCTGTGTTAACGCGTGTTAACTGAACGGGAAGAGATTGCGAAATGTTTACGCGATTGGCACAAGATTATTATTATACATTATACGCGTCTATATGTATATTATTACGGTGTACCGCAGGTCTGGACGTGAAATAAGTCGAACGCAAACAGCAACAGAGGTCGGTCAAGGGTCAAGGTATGGTAGAACAAGGCATCGCCGACTGGTAAAGCAGTGCGGGCAATCCGTTATGCGAACGGGGACTAGTCTATGACTAGTCTAGTCTAGGATCTAAGGATAGGTCCTGAGCGTTAAACGCGCATTTAGGATCGTTGTACGTCGTTGTGTGTACGATAACGTGCGCGTTCGACGCGGCGGCAGCGCAAACACCATGTCTACGCGCTTCCCGGACGTTCTGTAGACTTGCATTTATGTGTTCGGTCGCAACGGCAGCCCCTAGGCCATGGTTTTCCGTTACGGGATTTTATTTACGTACTTGCTGCTCAACACTTTTTTTTTTTTTTTTGTATACAGAAATGGCTAAAACCGTATATTTCAATACTAGGACACGGAGTGACAAACTTGTTGTGTGTTTTTTAAAATCGGACGAAGCCAATGTTTTTTTATTCCATTTCTCAGCCCACAACGCAGCCTCCTACCGTATAAAATCCATAAGCGTATAACGTATCCATCTGCGACGGAATACGAAATTCGGCTGGTTGGTGCATAAACGCGCGCTTGACGCTTGTGTGAATAACAGTTATAGTGCATACCAAATATCGTCCATGTATGCCGATCCGCCATGTGCATGAAAATAATAAATTTACATAACATCTTATCGGCACGACAAAAAGCATTGGTTTCGCTAAAATGTCTAAAACGGAGGTGACGTAATGTAAAAGTAATGTGTGACGATTCCCGATTCGTTTATTTTTATTTAACACTTAATAAACCAATTTTGGTTAAAATTTGTTGATCGATTACGCGGCGTACGGATATTCATTATTTTCGATGAATGCATGTATCTAGGCGCGCACACCTACGATATTCGTACAGTGCTACCGTTCTTCATCGGCGTGCGATACCAGTAACGCGTACCCCCCTCAGTATAGCGATGATGTGTGGCGCGTTCCGAGTGGATCGATGGTGTCCTAGTAACGGTGCAACCACAACACGAGGGCGCGGTGACACGAACAGCTACGGAACAACGAAAACGGTGCGCGACCGTTGCGAACGGGGTGAAGTTCCCGGCGGACACGAGACCGCGAACCAGAGCACGGATTGGAAATCGATCCTCCTAGGTCCTGCCACGGTCGACCATGGACGGTCGTTGGACGCGGGACCAGGACCGCCTGTACGAATACCTGCTGGACAGCGGCGTGCTGAATGACGTGCACACGCTGGCCGAGTCGGCGGTCAGCACCGCGTCGTCGACCGGGCTGCTGCGGGCCGATGACGGGGCCGATGACGGCGACGAGGACGCGCGACAAATCGCGGACCGGTTGCTGGACCGGAACGCGGACGACTTCGAGCGGGCGTTGGACGCGGTGGTGCGCAACGCCCGGCTTGCCGTCGAACATCAGCTGGTGGACTTCCGGTGGCCGCAGCTGACGGAGCTGACGGGTCCCGGGCGGCCGGCGGCCGTGCGCAAGACGTTGCGCAATCTGAACGCGCTGGTCCGGTTGCCGTTCACGTGCGACACGTACGCGACCGCGTACTTCCGGAAACTCACCAAGGGGCTGGAGCATGCCATGTCGGTGGACGCGTTCTTCGAGCTGACGGCGCGCGTCTACGCGAAACTGGTGCACGCGGCGCCGGACTTCGAGAGCGCGGCCGAGAGCTTCATGTCGCTGTGCGAGGCCACGCACCTGCGGTACCAGCGGCGTCGAGTCAAGTCCACTGAAGTCGGTGGCAAGTCGGTCGCAGCCGTATGCCTGTTGGCCAGGTGCCTATCAGTGGTGTGCAAGCGTGGCGCCGCTGCCGGTTCCAAGCACGTCAAGCCGTCCGTCATCGAGTTCGTGGCCACTGTGGCCGGGTGCGGGGCGCACGACAACGGGGACACCCCGTACGCCGCACTGTGCCGCGCCCAGCCCACGGCTGAGTGGTTCGACCACGTGGCCAAGTACGGGTGCTCGCGGTCCGCGTACTTCGCTTGCCTGGACGGCGACCGGAAGCTGCTGAAGGCCGTCGTGTCCAGCCTCGTCGGTTGGATGGCCGAGCCCCAGGTACCCGGCCGCGGCGATGGAGGTGGCCACGACGCGGCCGTGGTCCGGTACGCGTGCGCTGTGCACGCCGCACATCTGCTGGCCAAGATGTTCCGG